AATAGTACGGTTGAAGTAAAAATTTCATGTACTACCTGACTCTCAGTCATGCGGTCTAGGTCATCCCGGTACAAGCGTATGCAATGTCTTGGGGATCCCTTATATGACTTGGGGACGATCCACCTACATTTATTGATTACCGATATGAAGTTAAAAAATGTAACGTCATGTAAAGCATTCTCAATTATTAAGATGTAATTGACAACATACTTGCACCCATATGGAAGGTGGCCATGTTGAATGACCTGAAGTGCTGAGGGACGGACCATCGAAATCCTCGACCAAGCCCAAATCTGTAACAAGTGCATACAACCGCCAACTTGTTTGGTTGCCCACATCGCGCCGTTGCACAAGTTATGGTAGAGGTACCCGAGAACCGCTGATCCCCAACTCAGCGACGGGCTAAAGCCAAGTCACCCTGCAAGACCTCCAAAAAGTACAATCGTATTCTTGCCCCACTCGTGTCAGGGAACAAAAACCCTCCAAGCAATTGCCATATTAGGGTCATGGTGTGTTGGGTGACCTCTTCGTCTGTACTGTCATCTAGGATCCGGTTACGGGTAACAGCACTCATAGTGATATCACTCGTGCGCATATCAGACTGTAGAGGAGTGAAACCACACGACTGAGTGCACAGGTCGATCCACTGATCCTTACCCCTAATGGTTGGAGTGTTTTGGTCCATTTGAAATTCCTGAAATTAGTAGTTATAAATTACTATTTTTGAAATTGAACTCTAAATCTAAATTGAGCACAATTTATAAATTCACAGGTTTTGAACTCAAATTCTAAAAGTACAATTTTACAAAATCTATATTAAAAATTCACAAATTACATAATTAACTACTTGTACACTCTTTAAATTGAATTTTAAGGCTATTTCTAAATGTAGCACATTTTATAAGTTTCAAGTAATTTATCGCTAAATCTTACTCTAAAAGTCCAATTTCACAATCTATACTAGAGCTAGCCCAAGGTATTAATTTATCTAATTATTTATTCATTTATTTGTTCGTAAAAAAACAATCATTTATTTGTTTATTATCCGTACTTTTATATTAATACCAATCGCTAGAATTATTTTGAAGCCAAAACACGATCTCTTATATTAAGGAAGACGTAATTTTTTCTTTCTTTCAAAATGAACATTTTTTTTTTGAAAAATCAAAATCAAGACTTAGTAAAAATGGTTCTATACTTCTATTGTTAGTTAATGAGGTAAAACAATCATTCCACCTCTAAATTAAAAATTCACAAATTACAAAATTAAGTACTTGTAGACTCCTTAAATTGAATTTTAAGGCTATTTATAAATGTAGCTCATTTTATTAGTTTCAAGTACTTTATCGCTAAATCTTACTCTAAAAGTCCAACTTCACAATCTAAATTAAAAATTCACAAATTTCAAAATTAACTACTTGTACACTCTTTAAATTTAGTTTTAAGGTTATTTCTATATGTAGCACATTTTCTAAGTTTGAAGTACTTTATAGCTAAATCTTACTCTAAAAGTCCAATTTCACAATCCATATTAAAAATTCACAAATTACAAAATTAACTACTTCTACACTCCTTAAATTGAATTTAAAGGGTATTTCTAAATGTAGCACATTTTCTAAGTTTGAAGTACTTTATAGCTAAATCTTACTCTAAAAGTCCAATTTCACAATCCATATTAAAAATTTACAAATTACAAAATTAACTACTTCTACACTCCTTAAATTGAATTTTAAGGGTATTTCTAAATGTAGCACATTTTCTAAGTTTGAAGTACTTTATAGCTAAATCTTACTCTAAAAGTCCAATTTTACAATCCATATTAAAATCCCTCGTGGATGAATACACATCACCACAAAATCCTTGTTCATAATCTGGGTCGTCCGACTCTTCACCGGAGTCTGCATGAATTTATATGACTTAATGGGTTAGATTTTGTTTAAAGGCGTTATATTATAAAATGTGAGTTAATGTAATCGAATGAGTTAAAAATTACTAAAATAAATACTTCTAAACAAAAAAAAAATCTCGAATATAAAATTTCTTAAAATAACAATGTAACAATATAACTATATAAAATTTAAATTATATAGTTTTTTAAAATAAAACAAAATAGGCAGCAAGAAGATTTTTTAATTATAAAACAGTTTTTTAAATTAAACCCCCCCTAGTCGGAATTGCTCTATTCGACAGGAAGATTTTTTATGTTTTTTACATTTTAATTCAACAACAATTAAAATTGGATTCAATACACTAATAAAGATAAAGGAAATAATGAATTTGCAAATTTAAATTTAACAATCTAAATTAAAAAATTTGCAAATTACTAAATGTACTACGTCTACACTCCTAAAAAACCTAATTAAGACAAATTATAAGTTAGCGATCTATGTATAGCTTTTTTAACAACGTGATACTATATCCGTCTAAATAAATATCGTAAATATATAATTAATATAAGTAATATATAAATCAGATATAAGTAATTAGGTACGCGTAATATTATTATAAAGATATTAAATTGAACCGTTAATAATTAGCCTAATTATGCATAATATTAGTATTATTTAATATATTATACTACAGATAATATATGCTTGTATGATAGGATAAGTATATAATTCACTAACTAATACATATATTACTAATATCAGTGATATATACTCAATAACTCATTATGCCAATTTAACTAATATTTACGAATTACTAAATTAACTACTTCTACACTCTTAAAATGATAACAAATAAAATCAAATCATTGTAAATTCTACTTAAATTGAACAATACATACCGGGAGATTCATAGTTCTGAAACATTTGGCGGTTGTTCCTCCGACCATATATTGATGATGGGCCTTCCTCTCCGGGAGTTCCGTGGAACTCCAAATTTTGTGGCGGGGTCGCTGAAGCTTCCATGTAAATGTGCAACTCCTCATACTCATTTGTAGCGATCCGTAAAAAATGACGCCATGTCCGCTCATCGTGAATGGGCCATAATCTAGAAGCAACATATACTGAATTCTTATACTTTGGCAATTTTCCGTGAATTAATTTAATTTCGGAAAATCCGTCGCCTCTGACATGATTTAGAACTTTCTCATGTATAGTAGTATAATCATCTCCTTCACTAACCCATAGTACCGCCCTAGGAGGTATGGAGTACTCTATTTCATCATCTTTTTGAGATGTAGAGCCATTCCAATGAACCATAACAACAATATTGCCCTCACTAGACATTTTTATATATGGTATATATTATAAATATAATATGAGAGGGGAATGCTAAACAAAAAAATAATGAAAATATTAAAGTGTTTTTGGGTGAATATGGTATGTGCGGATGGTATGTTAAGAAAGAAAGAAGTGTTTTTGGAGTGTGTTTGTAAATTTTGAAAAGAAATGAACCGTTTTTATAGAGTTATTAGGGTAGGAGTTTGGTGAAATACTCGAACCACAACTAAACACGTCCCCTACCCCTAGTCGGATTCTCCAATTCCGACTACGTACATGCGTACGTACTGGCATTACATTCTTAAAATCAATATTATGGTCGGATTTCCCTATTCCGACAAGGCATTTTTTCTTTTAAATTACAGTCCGATTAATTAAACGAAATAATCCATTTTTTTAAAAAAAAAATACCCTAGTCGGAATTAGATTTTTTTTTAAATTAGACTCCATTTATTAAAACAACCGAATAATTTTTTTTTAAAAAAAAATACCTAGTCGGAATTGGGTAATCCGACTAGGTAGTTAGATTTTTTTTTTAATTAGGCTCCATTTATTAAAACAACGGAATAATTTTTTTTAAAAAAAATACCCTAGTCGGAATTGGGTAATCCGACTAGGTAGTTAGATTTTTTTTAAATTAGCCTTCATTTATTAAAACAACGAATACTATTTTTTTTAAAAAAAAAATTAACCTAGTCGGATTACCCAATTCCGACTAGGTAGTGGGATTTTTTTTAAAAAAAAATTACTCTAGTCGGATTCCCCAATTCCGACTAGGTAGTTGTGTATTTTCGCCAAACCCTAATCTCCAGTCGGAATTGGGGAATCCGACTCCCGTTTTTTTGTAACCTAATTGACACTCCTGCTTTTTGGAATGTCAGACGGGAAAGTCCCGTTTTTTGGTAATTCCTTCTGTTTCGTGTCTTATAAAGTACATATACGAAATACTTCGTATATACGTAGTTCCCAAGCTCCTGTCTAAGAGTCTCTCTTTCTTTCTTTTGGGGTTTCTTTTCATTTTCTTTCATTTTATTTATTTTCATTTTCTTTCATTTTACGTATATTTTTTGTCGATGTTGAAATTTCTCTTCCCCCAATTTTTAATTTACTTACTTTTCTTATTTAAATGAAAGACATTTTAGAAGGAGATTTAAAATTCTTTTTCTCTTTTATGACTTTTCAATTAATATATAGTAATATACACAGTATCCTTTAACTTGCTATTTTTTTTGAGAAATTCTTTGTTTGATATACTTTTCTTTTTTGGTAATTTTCCGTTTAGGAAATACTAATACTTTAACTCTTTCTACTTATCATATTATCTCTCATATATATATTTCCACAATCTCTCTTATTTTTTCTATATTATTCATTACCTCTTCTATTTTTCACTTAAATATTGTGTCAAACTTTAATTGGAGGTCCAACTCTTTTTTCTATATTATTCATTACCTCTTCTATTGATTTCACTCCCTACGCGTCCAAGATGCTCCCGCCTCTCATCCTTAATGATGCTCCGCTTTGGTCGGCTAGAGTCATGCTCATATTTTGCAATATGGCCGAAATGCATTACCCGGATCGATTTCTTCGGCAGTTCGGTATAAGGCAAGACATTCCGAATGCTCCTTTGCCGGGTACTGATCATCACGGATCTCGTTCCAACATAGTAATCGGTGCCTTGGCGATGTGGGCGGACATACAACATCATATATACCTTCTTGATTATGTTCGATATATGTCCCTCGAAACAACTAAAAGGTACCGAAACTGGTACAAGAAGCATGGCATGACACGTGTCCAGAACCCTTCTCACAATGTGCCCACGACAGGCTACACCCCGACAGCACACGATTGGGGTATTGTGGTAAGTTTTTGAATACATACCATATTCGCTACCATATATCGGGTCTTATTATTTACACGTGTTACATTTTTATGTAGAAGCAAGGCGTTCACGAGGTGTATCAGCTCTTAGCCGACCGTGCGAGTTACGAGGATTGTCAAAAACGACTACGGCAGATGGCCCTGGATGTAGGTGATGAAGATATGCTCCACCAGGGCATATTCCACTATGAAGATAAGATGCGGGTGGAAGTGACGAAGAGAATGATTCAGATGAACGTGAAGATGGGGGTGAGGACTCACAAGCGCCCCCTCAAATTCTCAACACAGGGTGTCTCATATGATCAACCACCCCCTCAATTCTCAACGCATCAAGGTGTCTCATTTGATCAACCACCGCCGTATTATGATTCTTATCAGTGGTCCACACAACCGGATGATTATGTTGAATCGTTTCTGAATTCGTCTTTTCACTATGGAGACACAACGGGGCCTTGGAACACTGGCGGTGGGGACGGAGCAGGGCCGAGCGCGCAACATTAGATGTAGTATTAAATTTAATATTGTATGTACCGTCTATTCGTTAACAAATTCCATTCAAAACTACATTTGTTTTGTTCACTTCCATTAATTAAAATTACAAAAACATTTCACTTAAAACAAAATCAAAATTTTATCTGATTAGACGAATGGAGTAAATCACAATTGCACTTAAAATTACAAAAATTGCAATTAAAACAAAATTCACAATACAAATGGATTTAAAAACAATTTAAAGCAATCAATTGATCTCTTAGTAAAAAAATCATAATGCTAAGTTTTCATGTTAAAAAATATGTCATGAAATTTTAAATTTGGAATTAATATAATTTAGTCCTAACACTTTTATTTTTTTTCGAAATCAAAATCAAAAACAAAATTTGAAATTTTTTTTTTCCCCTGGTCGAAATTAGGTAATCCGACCAAGGGAACAAAATTCGGAATTTTTTTCCCTAGTCGGAATTGGGTAATCCGACTAGGGGGAGGGATTTTTTGCTTTTACAAAACCTTAAATCAAATTCACAAAGAAATTTCGAATAAAAAAAAAATTAAACCTAGTCGGAACTCACTAATCCGACTAAGGGAGAACACCATTTTTTAAAACCCTAAAACCTAGTCGGAACACCCAGTTCCGACTCCCCTTTTTGGTAAACCCTAAAAAAATCCCCGTTTTTTGGCAACCCCAACCCCCTTTTCCCCCTTTTTGGTAAATCACCCCACGAAACAAAAAGAAAAATGCAAAAAAAGTAAATAGAGAAAAGAAAGCACGTTTCAAATCAACAATAACTGAGGGAATGTTTGCATTTGATTAAAAAAATGCTTTTCAGCTTTTGACTTAAAAAAAGTTAAAAAGAGTGTTTTCAAATGACAGCTTCTGCTTAAATTAATCACTTAAAAGCTAAAAGCTGGAAGCAGGTGGAAGGATGCTTTAAACTGCTTTTCACTTTTTCTATTACACAAAAAGTACTTCTTTTACCAAACACTACCAACTTTTACTTTTTCAGAATCACTTTTTCCTCAAACACTACCAACTTTTACTATTAATCACTTTTCCCAAAATCACTTTAAAAAATCACTTCTTTAAAGTTGAAGCAATTGCAAACACTCCCTGAATAACCTGCAATAGACAGTTGCCAGCCGGTGGCTTGACTCAAATGATCACTTTTCAATAGTATGTGTATCTATTTGGCGGTTTTTTTAGTAGAAGGGTTGAAATGACTTATTTGATATAGTAGAAGGGTGTGTATTTGACCCTTTTTCCTTAATGTTATTGTGAAATTATTATCTTATGTAATAATGCTATTGTTTTTTAGTGTTTGATTATGCTCTGTTAGGGGAACAGAGAACAATCAAACACATCGGTTAACTGGAGAACCGATATTGTAAGCAATCACATCGGTTATAGCAGATGTAGTATGGATCGGAGCAGTAACTACTAATTTGATACCATTTATTAGATCAGTTTTTATATAACCGATGTTAAAACTTAAAACACTTTTGACATCAGTTATCTAACCGATGTAAAATGTAAGGACTTTTCACATTGCCGGGATCTACATGGTTGTACAACCGATGTGAAAAGTCTTTTTTAACCGATATGAAAAACCTTTTTTGTATTAGTGACAAGATAAAGGTAAATTTGACAAAGTTATTCACCACTGTTAGCCGACTCTCCGGCTAGTATCGATTAATATCAAGTTTCACTTAATGGAATTAATTAACTTGGATGATGTTGCGTACAGGGGCGAACTTGTAAAGAAAAAAACAGAAGCTAAACAAAGAAAAGGGTGTTGTTGATGCATCGAATAAGTTGCAATATACCTCAGGTAAACAAATTAATTTCAATTTAGCAAGTTTGGAGTTGAGAAAAGAGAACAAGGGCAGAGAACATCAGCTAAGAAAGCATGTGATAAATGAACTAAAGGAGAAAGCTTAATAGGTGAATGAGGAAGTTCATGCAATGAAGATCATGAACAAAGGAGGCAAGATCACATTCACAATATGAATTAGGACCTAAAAAAGATATCAAATAGTTCATGCTTCTTTTGAGATCACTCACGCTCGGATTTTGAAAGAATAAGAGAGAGGTGTCATTTTCTAACCTTATGTATTGACCGTTAATGTTTTAAGTTTAATTCCATACTTTGTCCTACTTTTGTCATGTCTTTTTTTAGTAAAATTTGTTATTAGACAATTTTAAGTAAATTAAATGACTTTCAATCTTTTAGTGAGGTTTGTGATATATAACCAATTTATTTTAGTTCATTGAAGATGCTTAAATGGTTGAACCCCACTTTGATTCTATTACTGTTGTTATTAACCAGTTTAAATTTATTAAACATTCCTTAGAAGTAATGTTTTAGTTGAGCAATGCACATAATATTGGGGCGATAAATTAGGGAAAGCTAAATATGTCTGTGATAAAGTGTTATGAGTCTGGTGGGGGGGGGGGGAGTTGATTACATTACTGCTTTCACTATACCATAAAATGATGTGATACAAACAATCCAACTCTACATCTATTTGTGTCTCATGGGACACTATGATACATAAAGTCTGGGCAATCATTTATAAGCATGAAGAGAAGTCGGTAGACGAGGAGTCTCCATTCTTTCATGGTTTATCACATTCTTCTTGGTTGAAAGGGAAAAACAATTTATATCACATAAATCCTCTACATCCTCGGTAAGACTCAATAAGTGTTATATATCAATGTGATTCATCTTTGCTACTAGTTTATACTTTATGCATTACATGTATAATATTGGTAGAGATATATTGAAACTGGATCTCATATAATCCACAATCAAATCACTTAAGATAGTAATTTATATTTTATATTTAATATTTGACTATGTTAGGTTGTTAACAGAGATTTTTTATGGGAATGATTTTGCTCGATTTTTAATATAAATGATAAATATCCACGTTATTAGCTATTATAAGGGTCCTTTTTAATGATTGATTTGTGTGTTATTGGTTAATTGTTATTTTCTTTTACTTTTGATGTTCTTATCTATTACGGAGTAATATAAACCTCCACGTTATTTTCTTTTTTTAATGTTCTTTTGCTAGTTTAATAGCTTATAAATATAAGATAAGATAAGGCTTCTTTAGAGAGGGGGGTCAAGCAGGGTGACCCCCTATCTCCCTACATTTTCCTCTTAATAACCGAAAACTTTACTAGGGGGTTACAAAACCTTATTGCTACACAGAAAATTGAACAATGTGAAATCGGGAGGGGTTCTCTTCCATAGCCCAACTGGCCTATGCAGATGACGTGCTTCTCTTCCGCAACGGCTCCTCATCTTCATTAAAACACCTTCTGCATCTACTCAAACAGTACTCCAAGGCCACCGGGCAGATCAACCTAGACAAAACCAAAGTGATCATGAGCAAACGTCTTGGTTTGGGAAGGAAAAGAACCATAGAACAGAATCACAGATCATTGGAATGAGCACAACAAAACTTTCCCATCACATACATGGGTGCCTTGCTCCACCAAGGAACCACCAGACCTCATCACTGTCTTCAAATAGTCCATCAATTTGAATCCAACCTTGCCACATGGAAAACAATATAGTTAAATCAGAGTGGCAGATTGGTTCTAATAAAACACACATTGTAAGCAATCTTGCCACAACACACCAAACAAATACCAAATAGGCTCATGTCTAACTTCTTCTGGGGAACCAAAGCATTAGAAAACAAGTACCACTTGAACAATGGGGCAAAAATATGTAGGTCGGGGAATGGGGTGGCTCAACATCAAGTCTCTAGAAGACATACAAGTGGCCTTACAAATAAAAAATTGGTAGAGTTTTTTGGAAAACAAAACAATTTGCTCCGAATACATGCATGTCAGATACACAACACAAATGAATTTCAAGGCCACAGACTCCCGAACATGGAAACAGATTTGCAGAACAGACACAACTACCAAGGAATTCATAACTCTCAAGAAGAAGAATCCTTCTCTTGGAAGCCCACAAAGGATGGAAATTTTACACCCACAAGTGCCTATCACTATATAAGAAACACACACCCCACCACCTTCAACAACACCCAAATTTGGGTGTTGTTAACATCAGAGTTGCTAATTATTAAGTTCAAATTCATTTGAAGTGAACATATCTTACTATAAAAACAAATCAATGTCACACTTTTAGATGCATAAAAAACAAATTCGAATCGTAGAAAATTTTCAAAAATCTTACCAATAGACGAACCTTCTCCCGATCATCTAATTTTGGAGGTCCAACTCTTTTTTATCCCTTTCATCTTGTTGAAAGTGACTGTCATATAGCTTGTCTTTATCAACCATCCTATGAAATGCTACCATGTGCTTCATAGCCGCCGTCAACATAAGATAAGTATAATTCCACCTAGTATTGTTGTTTAGTATCAGACTTCCTCTAGTGACATTATCTAGTTCTGAGCGCTTTTGAAATGTAAGGAATCTAGCATTGGAAGACCTAATTAATATACTTCACTGCATTGTGTACACTAACAACAGTATCACTTATATCTGACAGACCTTCTCTTGCTATCAAATTCAATATATGAGCACAACAACGAACACGTATAAACTCACCATCTAAAACTAAAGGATCACCTCTCCAAAGTTTCAGGTTAGTTTTCAATATCCTAACTTCATTATGATTTGATGTAGCATTGTCAATTATTATGGTTAAAACCTTATCAATATCCCAATCAATCAAAAAACTCTCAACTTGTTTGGAAATTGTTTCTCCTTTATGATCACAAATTGGTTTGAAACTAATGATTTCCTATGCAACTTGTAATTCAAGTCAACGAAACGTGTACTGACAGCCATATAACTAACAGAGATGTGTTGGTAGTCCATATATTAGTAGTTAAAGACTCTTTGTTGATTCAACAAAGACTTTAGGGAAGTTTTTTCTTTCATGTGGAGTTCCACTATATCCAGAGCAATT